GGGGGAGAGGCAGGCCCTTTGAGGGGCCCAGAAAGGTAAACTCAGGGGCACAGCCCGCTCTCAAGTTCAGTAAGCGGCCAGCTTCAGGGTGAACGTCAGGGGGGGTGTCTGGGCTCGGGCGGCTCGTTTTCTTCGATTATGCCCCAAGGCGTAAACAAAGAAACTGCAAAGTTTCAGGAAGACTGTGAGGCCCCGACAGGCCTGGGAGTTTTGGGGGCACAAGGGTCGGGATTTTCTCAGGTCGGTGTCGCAGCCCACGCTACTCGGTGGGTGGAAGACGACTGAACAGGTGTGGTTAGGGGGAGACACTCTCCCCAAAACCGCAGTGAACCTACACGCGTGGGAAGGCAGGACATGGCCTTGTCTCATCAAAGTCGAAAACCAGGCCAGTGTTCCCGCCTTCAGGACCCATGGCTGTGCCTGGTCCCCAGGGCGCAGTGACTGACCCCTCCCGTCCCTCGAGAGAGGGGCCACTTACTTGCAGATGAAGCCCCCGCTTTCGCACTTCCTCCTGGCGTCGGTGTTCTCCGGGAAGAGCAGCTCGGGCCTGTGCAGCACGTCCACCAGCACCGACAGCTCCGCCTGGACCAGGGGCCGCAGCCGGTCCTCCAGCGCCGAGACGATGTCCTGGGGGGAAGCACAGCCTGGGTGAGCCGGGGCCGGGAGGGTGACAACACCCATTTCTCACCTGAACACAACCACCGCTGGGCGAGGTTAGCGGAGCTCAGCACGGATTAGATGCTGCCCAGCGGGTACCTGAAGCATCAGCCCTGGTGCAGAAAACAAAGTCGGCGTTCCCGCCAGCCCTCCTCGTGAGACGGTCTTTGGGCTACTCGAGGGAACATTCCATATATTTTAAAATACGATGCAAAAGACACATTCAGCCACATGGAAGGACGTCTACGAAATGAGCGCAGAAATGGTCAAAGGACAGCATGGGCTCCAAGACCCAACTTCTGCATCACCAACATCTAAAGGCCACGCAGCGCCCGTCATAAAACATCGCCGGCGGGCGGGTGGCGGGGTTTCGGGGGACGCTGATCTATACACACTGGTACTTGTGAGCACCGTCCAATGACTGTCAATGAGCACAAATTATTCACATAACACAAAGTGATGCAAAGATGGAAACACAAATGAACAAACATGCTTATCAACATGCCGAGTACATGTACCCTGAGAGCATGGTGGTCTTCAAATGCACACACACAGCTGCGGGAAAGGAAAACAGAGAGAAGGTGAAATAGCAGCAGAACCAACACAACACACACCAGATACAGGCAAACGGCAGGAAACAGATGAGACATTATCTCAAGAAGATGCGACCGCTGGCTGGCTGGCTCGGTCACAGGGCCTCGTGAGGGGCATCCTGGCCCAGACGGGCAGGGCGGGGCATGCGGGGTAACACGGGAGGAACCCGCAAACCCAGGAGGCTCGCACGGAAAAGGCCACTGAAGTTGTGTTCACCCGATTGGGGACCCAAATTTCACAGGCCACAGTCAATGAAGCGTTGATGGGCCTTTGCCCAGAAACTAAAGTGTGTGAATATAATTTTACTTTATCTTATGCTTAACAAAACGTATAATCACAAAAATACTCAGAACGTCAGATGAATCAAACTACCGGGGGCATTTTCCCAGAGAGATTGCAACACCCCTCAATTCCTAGTGACTTCCACAGCACAGTCAAAGGAGGGCTGTTGTTGCAAAATTCTCTGAGGGTTTCATCAGGGTCCCCAGCAGGTTCCTCTCTGAAAGCACCCGATTTTCTCTTCTTCGACAGTGGCTGGTCCTGACATGCAAATCTTTGTCTACAGCATTGACGGGACTGAAGCCGTCCGTCAACATCACGTGCATGAAATCCTGCATCTTTTGCAAGGTCTGAACCTCACATGGCAGTCGGCCTGCACCGTGTCGCCAAATGCATAACATCCGACAATTGGAGAGACCAACAGATAAAGATGGCAAAGCGATGGGCGGGGAGAGGTGCCGGTGTCAAGTGAGGGGCATCTGAATGGGGTTAATCCACAGCATTCAGTCTGCGAGCGAATGTTCTTACATCTGACACCTTCTGACCTGGGCAATCTCACAGCTCCAGGGACTCAGACAATAACTCGTTAGGTAACGAGGACCCATTAGCCACGGGCCAGGTGTTTATAACAAGCAATCTCTGTACTTATTTTTTCTCTCCAAGACTATGCCTAATAACCCTAAGAAGAGCACCAGGAAACAGTGTGTTTGCTGCAGATAATGTATTTGGTTGGAGCAGGCGAGGAAGTACTGAGCATTTGCAGGGTGGGGGCAAGAGGCCCTCCATGGGGAACACCCCCCCTTTAAGGCCCAGGGGGGCTGAGTCTCCCCCTGGCCCGTGAAGCTCCCCAGCTCCATGCCTCCGGCCACACCAGCCTCCTCTGGCCTCCGGGTGCACCCTACTCTCTCCTGTATGTTGGTCTTCATGTTTGTTTCTCTCCCTTCGATTTTTTTCTGTAAACAAGTCCTGCATCTCCCTGATCTTGGCTCAAATGTAACTTCCTCAATCACCATCCCCGCCCCAGGGGACTAGGCTCCTCGCCAGGGTCTTGTGGCCCTACTCAGGCCTCTGCAGCATTTGTCCCTTGTCACTTACTGTTACCTGTGTGCTTAGCTGACACCTGTCTGTCTCCTCTGCAAAACCTGAGACTCCACGAACACAAAGATTTTGGCTTTATGCTCCCCCCTCTCCCCAGGGCCCAGCGAGGGGCTGATGAACGGATCTCCGGATCTCCGAGCTCTTTGTCTTTGGTAAGTTAAGTAACCTCAAGGAGATTCGCTTTATCTCATCGAATGATAATACTTATTAGGGTCACAGCAACGACAATACTGACAGTGATGATAATGCCACTGGCAGCTCTCGCTCAGCACCTGCAGGCACCGTTCTCTGTGCCTTATGTGTACCCTGCTTTCCAAAGGCCACCACGAATGTCCTACGCCGCGTTCTTCCAACGTGGTGGTAGGAGATGGACTCTGATGCCCACATTCGAAACTTCCTCTTGTGACCCTCCAATACTCCTGCCTGACAGGAGCGGTCCCCACGCTTCACAAAGGAAGCTGCAAGTCTACGAATGACCTTTAACGACCTTGATTGTCAGCTTTCCTCTCACCAGGCAGCTCCGCCCTCCCGGCCTCCATTCTCTATGGCATTTGCCTGTCCGCTCCCACTGGCCTCTCCCTCGGCCAGTCTCGGGTGTTCTCTGGCTCGGGGCGCACTGCCGCGTGTGGGCCTGACCCGCCAGTGAGGCGCCCCCCTCTGGGCGCCCGGCCTACCTGCAGCCTCTCGATGATGTTCCGGTAGTCCCTGGAAGCCGCCAGCACCGAGTCCCGGCGAGCCGCGTTGCGGGCCGACAGCCGCCAGTTCAGGGCCGTCTTCTGCACGATGTTGTGGGACTTGAGGAAGAGGTTGTTGACCTGGCTGTCCAGGTCCACAGGGATGGCGATGGCCCGACTCTTGGCTGCACAGAGGAGGTGACTCGTGAGCCCGAAGCTCACGTGGGAGACGTTACAGACTAACCGCCCCTCGCCCACCAGGTGCTCTGTGTCCTCACGCATCAGCTCGTGTAACACCGAGTGTGAGCACTGAGGGCTCAGCGGAACTCGCCCCCCTGGGGACAAGGTTTCCCAAGGCGAGTTCTGGGGAGGGGGCAGCTCTGAAGGGTGTTCAAGTGCTCTGAGGTCACACAGCTCAAGTTCAATGGGTTTCATCACCAAACAGCTTCTATGTTGTAAAAAATTATCAAGACAGGGCACGTGTTTGGCCAGTGAACTGTTTTCCCAAAGTTTCTCTTTCAGGTTTGGTCTACAAAATGCTGATTTAAACCGAACACCATGCCGGCCGGTGTGGCTCAGTGGATGAGCGTCCGCCCTGCGCCAGGTGGTCTCTGGTCTGATCCCTGGTCAGGGCCCAGGTTGCAGGCTCCACCCCCAGCAGGGGGCGTGCAGGAGGCAGCCAATCGATAGTGATGTTTGTTTCTCACCAATGTTTCTCTCTCTCTCCCTCTCCCTTCCCTCTAAAAAAATCAGTAAAAACTTATTTAAAAATAATAATAAATGAACCAAACAACATCACACAAAGGAATGTTTATAATGATGTCATTAAGCTATTTTTTTTTTCCAGAAAGGGTGCTCCTGGGACAGGACGTGTGCCTCACGGGACATGTTTCCACGTGGCTACATACGTGCACCGGACGACACCTATGACTTCCTGGTGAGCGACCGCCAGGCCTTGAACCAGCTCACGGGCACGAGGACTTGCCAGGAGCTGCCACTGTTTAACCCTGGAAGCTCGTCTTCCAAAGCCCGTCCTTCCCCGGGACTGACTGGCTTCCAACTTTGGGGGCTGTGGCTGAGGGCGGCGGGTCAGGGATGGAGACCTTGGCGCAGGTCTGGCTCTGTGGAGCCGTGACACGGACGCCTTACCCGGGTCCCGCCGCTTACCCACGTCGGAGAGCACGCGGATGCAGCCCTCCACCGAGGCCTTCTGGCCGGGCGCCAGCCAGTTGCAGTGATACACGCGGAACACGCCCTGCAGCAGCTGCACGAACACGGGCTGGCGGGTCTGAAAGAGGCGCGGGAGGGCGTGGGGCTCATCGCTGGTGGCCAACGCGCCATCAGCAGCAGACACGGCCTGACCCCCCAGCTAACGGCCCGCCTGCAAGGGTGGGGGGGGGG